CATTACGCATTTTTATTTCGGGCTTTGGTCGCCCTCTTTGCGATATTTTGTTTTCCTCACTTCCTCCTTTCCTCACTTTCCTTCTGCATTAGCTGCTGCCCAGAAGCTTGAGACTAATCATAAGCGATACGATTTTGCACAAACATTTGCTATGGGTAATTTAGCAAGACCAAATATGTCCAAGCCAGCAGTAACTCGGTACACATTTTCTCAGCCATACCGGAAGAACCTCCCACCATATATGAATAGTAGACCAACTGCAATGAAAGCCGATCCCGGTTCTTTCGTTTATCGATATCGCACAGCGCATCAAAATAATGTTTCATTTCATAAACCAAACAACGACCAATCTCAACCTAACGTTATGTCGCCACAGCAACAGTCCTTTTTCGCACGTTGATATGTGCCATCGCGACTATTCAAGTACAACACGCGCTTCCATTGATCATTTAGAAACCGAAATTATTAATTTAAACTAGAATCGCTCCTACCATTCGTCATAACTAAAACAACGAGTGGCCAGGAGCTGAAATTACTAACCGATACAGGAACTTCGAAAAAGTTTATCAAAAACCTTCCATTCATTAAGGGAATTAAGGTAATGGAAAACCCATTTACATTAAAATCGATAAATGGGGTCAATCTTATAAATAAAAATGTTTGATCAATGTCTTTAATCACACGTCGACGTTTTATTCGCTTAAAAATATAACCACGTTCGACGGTATAATCGGCTATGATTTACTTAAATAGATTAATGCTAAAATTGATATCGAAGCAGAGTATTTACGTCATCATAGTCGTTTAACCAATCTTCAACACCTCCGTTGTAATCAAATCAATTCTATCACAATAGAAGCGGACTCTGTCCCATCCACTATTAAAGCGAAGTTTCGTGATATGATTGATAAAAATTCAAGTGCATTTGCTCACCCAAATAGAGCCTTACCATATAATACGAACGTAGTGGCAACAATTTACACTATCACCGATGACCCAATATTTTCGAAAAGTTGCCCTTATTCAATTTCAGCAGCGGAGTTTGTCAACGCGGAAATCGAATCCCTTCTGAAGGATGGCATAATTCGTCAGTCGTGTTCTACTTATAACTCACCGGCGCATGTCGTGACTAAAAAGAGCAAAAGCTACGCATGGACATAGATTTTAGGAAAATTAATTACATTTATTTATTAATAAACTATCCCCGATCGGTACCCCATTCCTGATATATCTGTCATTCTGGCAAATCTAGGCAAGTCATTATATTTTACCACTCTTGATCTAAAATCGGGGTTTCACCAAATTAATGTGCGAGATGAAGATAGACCAAAAACAGCATTTAATATCAACAACGGCAAATATGAGTTTTGTCGCTTGCCGTTTGGCTTAAAAAATGCGCCAAGCATTTTTCAGCTCGCTATCGATGATATTCTTCGCGTTGAGATAGGTAAAACTTGCCACGTTTACATTGATGATATCATCATCTTTTCGCGCGATGAAGAATCGCATTTGAACCATATAAATCACATTTTAATGAAATGAGAGGCAGCAGGTATGCGAGTTTCACCAGAAAAATCCAAATTCTTTCAGACAGAGGTAGAGTTTTTGGGATTTTTAGTTTCGCAAAATGGTATTAAAATATGCCCTAACAAAATTCAGGATATCATTAACTATAAAATTCCAGAAACCTTACGCTCTTTACGATCTTTTCTAGGCCTTGCAAGGTATTATCGTAGATTTATTAGGGACTACGCTTCAATAGTTAAGCCACTAACTAAGTATTTCCAAGCTGTAAATGGGCACGTCGCAGCTAGTAAATCAAAACACGTTTGGATAATACTTGGTTCGGATGCAAAGCATGCTATCAAAAAAATTAAAACTATCCTGGCATCCGAAGACGTTCTTTTACTGTACCCAGATTTTAATAGGCCCTTTGAGTTGACAACTGATGCTTCATCAGTTGTCAACTATCCTGGCATCCGAAGACGTTCTTTTACTGTACCCAGATTTTAATAGGCCCTTTGAGTTGACAACTGATGCTTCATCA